ATATATATATATATATATATATATATATATATATATATATATGCAATAGGTATATTTCCATGCACAAATATAAAAGAAAACCGGCCCAATCCCCAATTCATGCATAGAATTTAATAATTCATGTTCCAGAAAAGAGTTGTAGCGGTGGATTGGAATTAAAAGTAAATACATTTGATTTGTTTTGAATGAAATACGTTTCGGGGCCTCCAATTTTACACCGGGGAGTGGGGAACATTGTCTCGGCGGCCCCCTTTGAGCGTCCCAATAAGCACTCCACATACGGGACCTGCGCTGACTGGGAGCGGGCGGGCGTGGCGCGCAGGTGGAGCCGACGGGCGACGTGGTGGTGTGCGGCGGCGCGGACGGGCTGGTGCGCGTGGCGGTGGTGGCGCTGCAGAACCGCGAGGCGGCGGGGGAGGCGGCCCGCGACGACGACTTCCTGTGCCTCGTGCAGACCACCAAGCCCCACACCATGCGCATCACCAGCATGGCGGTGCGCGAGGCGCAGGGCCTGCTCGTCACCGGCAGCGAGGACGCCACCATCTTCGTCTACCAGATCCTGCCCCGCCACGACTATGTCTCGCTCAACCCTATCGGCTTCGTGAACGTGCCCAGCGCCGTCACGCACCTCACCTGGAAGCCACACGAGGACGTGAGTAGCGCTGTCAGACCTCCTTCGACAGCATCGGCTTCGCGCAGAGCCGTCTCTCGTCTCTTCGGGTAGGCGCAAGACGACGCGGATGACGTAGGGTTGCTTTGTTAGGGTCGGCAGGTGGTTTGTTGGCAGGGTTTAAAGCGATTGGTGTTAATACCTCAGAGTGTCAGTTCAGTGTGTGCTGTTAGAGGTTTGAGATACGAGTAAATTTCACTAATGATTCACTTATTTTCGATATCCTCGAAATAATGTTCAAAAGTAGTTGCGGTTATAAATGCGGCTTAATTAAATATTCAAACGGATGCAACATGTCATATTCACAAAATTTGAAAGATATGGGCTTTTTACTTTCCCCCCGATTTTAATAAATCTCGTATATAATTCTGCCTGCGTAATTAATTCGTTGACTAAATTTTAGGCGAAGAATTACGCACGAAAATAATACTTTGCTCATGTTAGCCGGCCTTTGTTAATTGCATCCGTATGTTACTCAGACACCTTGCCCGCTAATTTGGCTTGGCAGCAATAAGTGTGAAAAGTCCGCCCACATTACAGAGCCGTACTTTCGGTACTATCGACGCGTCGAGTAATTGTTGAAGTACTGAAGAAAACAGTTCGATAATAGATGCAACAGTATTGCAGTTTTTCTGGAAGGCAGCTCTTATCTTGTCCAGGTTCAATGTATGGTCACAATATATCCAGAAAAAGAGTAAACATCTACGGAAATGCCGGGGAGATGTCCGTATAAACGCGTAGTCAGTCTGTTCCAAAATAAGAACAATTTCAAATACAAATGAAGTGCCAACAAAATACCAAAAAATATACCAGGCTCTCTCAATGCTACACACAACAATAAAAAATGGATGAATAAAATAATAACAACAATAAAAAGCCTATCCGGCTTCAACCAATCACCTTCTTGCACCAGTTTGCGTCACAATATTAGCGGAAATTTGAAATTCTCCAAGATACAAAAATGATCTTGTGACAAGTCACCGAAACAGATACATGCGGCGTTTCTAAGAAATATTGCACCTTTTATTTCAACTACTCCTTCATCGTGTCATTTGGGGTTGCTCTCCGTCAAAAATTTTCACTTTATGCCTCTTCAAATGTTTCTCAACACTTCTCGCTTGCCATGCAACACGGTGGCCAGCGTCTGGCCTAGCCTTTTTAATTAATTAATTAATTTATCTATGTTATTTATTTTTAAATAAAAACAGTTAAAATATGTGTGACGTGCTACTGGAAGAAGTGCATCTGTGCAGGTTTTTTTGATCTTGGGATCCTTACCATATAGAAGTTGAATTCCGAATTCAGAAAAAAATAAGCAGTTTTGGCAATTGTTAACAAAATATTCGCCACGGTGTAATAAAATATATTTTCATATTCAAATTATCTATAGATTATTTATCCTAAATCATGTTCTTCGTTAAGGAACATACTTCTGCCTCAACAACATGAAGAACGATAATTTGAATAACTGTATTCTGCACTGCACTGTAGAAGACGTGTACAGATGGTGAAGTTACATTTTTTGTTCAGAAGCAAAACAAGGAGCCATCTCAGTATTTGCTCAGGGGGTCAGGGTAAAGCAACCCCATCGACCCAGAAGTGCCCGCGTGGTTCGTGATGTAAATTAGTGTTGAGCAGAACCAGCAAAATCGGTGCGTCGGACCAGCTCACCCACGTCCTTTCATGACACCACACACTCACTATGCTTGTAGCTACCGCATTCTTCAACTCAAGAGCTTTTATATACTAATTCTCTTATTGTCCTCTGTATATTTGAGTATTGGTTTTGTGAAAATGCTTGTCTTTTTCGTGTGGATTCAATAGAATTGTCTTTGTTCTGTCGTTTAGAAGCCCATGATTCTGGTGTCGTGTTTCGGCGGTCAGGCGGTCCTTATGGAGATTCCAGATGCGCCCCAAGTGGACACCAAAGTTTCGTACGAACTGAAAAACATCCCGCAGAAGGAAATCGTATTTTTGAGCGTGAAATCACAGTTACGCCGCGACTTCATCCTGGAGCAAGATGCCATACGAAGAGCGGAAAAACTGGAGATGAAGAAGGAAAAATTAAAAGCGATGAGGGAAGAAAATCCCAATCTGAAAATTGATGAAGATTTGTTCTATGGTAAGGACCCAAGTTTTCATTAAATTATCGAAGCTAATTTGAATGACTGTCAAGAGTGTGGTCGTATACCTCTCATGTCAGTGTGTTTCGGAACTTTCCCACTGTAGAATTCTTTATAGAAACAAACAAGGTATTGAAGGCAACAAAGCCGTGTACACTTTCTTCACAATCTGAAGATTGATTGCGCATAATGGACTGTATTTCCATGAGGGATGTTGAATTTACCAGCATATTTGTTTTACCGACAGTTTTCGACGTCTTAATCATCATTATCAGATCTAGTGCAACGATTTGAAACAAAGGTTCTTTATCTGTTGCTCTGAAGTCAACACCACCCAACTCGCGTCTCTATTTACTATTCATTATTGAAACTTTGAAATGCTCGTATGCTTTCCTTTGGATCTAATTCTTGCATTATGAAACACCAAAATTTACTAGAATGATTAAAAATATTTCATAATATACCTGTTCTTTCATATTAATTGCACGCTTTAAATTCAAAATGTTAATCACGAATTTTTACTAGTATTAACTTTTAACATTTTTCATATTGATTTATGCTTTATGATTTGCATCTTTGTACCATATCTGATGATGACAATGCCGTCAAAAGTTCCTCATGTAATAAATAAAAATGTCGATAATGACAATTTGAAATACCAAAACCACTTCATCAATCAACTAATATGCAATGAACAGGCCAGTCGATACGTCAGGACGAATACAAGTTTTATAGCAAATTTCAAAATGTTCTCGAATCGCCCGGTAGTGTCGCTGACCGGCAAGTCGAGGGGTTCGAGATCCGAAGGTGGCGGGTTTTGGATACTAGCTAGATAAGTACTGTATCGGCAGCGTATAAGCGTAAGAGCTTCGAAGCGCTGTTGCCACACACTACTTCACTCGTGGTACCACATGACAAAGAAATTAAATCTCAAAACATTAACTCTTACAGGCAGCGACACATCTTGATTTCATATTCATAATCTTCGCCACAGCCGAACCTTATCGCCTTCGCGACTTCATGAGAGTCGAATAACTGGCAACGCTCAACACTGTACGAAAGTGAACACCTTGGAAGCTGGTTGCTTCTGAGCAGGACACATGGCCACGTGCCACATCACGTGGCGAGAGAATTGAGTAGCATACTCGCTGCCGGTACTGTAGGTTAATTCGGTCTCTGTCTGGAGGAGAATTCTAATAGCTGGCTGCTCTGATGAGTAGTTTTCAATGGTTTCTACGATCAAAACCATATGAGTGCCGAAGCAGTACACTAAAAAACGGGCCCCGAGCCGCAAGGGATTTTCGCTTCTTCTTTGGCTTATCCACAGCCTTACACTTACACAAAGGCTACACTGCCACACATGCAGGGAGATGGTCAGGGTCTTCGAGCTTGTCGCGGCTGGGGCGGTGCCCCGCTGGTGCGAGATGCCTGGTTGATACAGCACTCCTCCCGCTATAAATGCATGCACTACCCTTACGGGTCTAATGGCCATGCGCTACACTACCACATATGTCGAGAGGTTAAAGCTTGTCCGGAATGGGGGTGCCCGCTGAGGGGAGATTAAACCTCAAAAAGGTTAAAATACTTAATAACATTAGATATAATATTACCTTAATTATTGATAGTGAAATTAATTTTTAGCGACAGCATTGATACGTGTATAATGGGATGTTGGTTAAGGGGAATGAAAACTATTTCAGTTTGCCAAAGTTTCAGAAATATAATTACTTCTTCAGGGAAACACGTGAAAACAACACAGTTAATAAACAAAATATATAATCATAAACAGTAGCACAAAACAATATTACAATTCACAATTATACAATTTACGGAACATGAACATACATACTATACATAACTATAATTTAAGCATAGTTGACTAAGTTTTTAAAATTCAATTATACATACAAACTGAGAGCTGTGTATCAGCTTGTGACCGTGAATTGCAATTTAGGCAAACAGAACAAAACGAAAACTTGAAACTTGCATTGATCAATGAAGCTGATTTGGAATAAACCATTTTCAGAGGACTCGGAGTCGTCCATTACGCTGGAGTCCCTGTATTTCCCGGAGGTGCCAAACCCGATTCTGTTTTCGCTCTACCTGACGGACGATATTATATGGATGTCCCCCGCTGGCTACGACGCTGGATACATGTACGAGTACCTGGCCGACATGGAAGACCCCATCAGATGCACCTTGATTGCTGACGCGGACGACATAGAAATCCATAGCTACGTTGAAGAGTGAGTAGACATCAACTTTTCATGTGAAAAAATACTATTCCTTGAAATAAATGTGCTCATACGCCGTGTAGTTGAGTAGCAGGTCAACTCGATTCTTTCGATGGTTCTTAACGGTCAGCGGCCTGTTAAATTCTCAACGGGCTTTACGAGTGGCTTTTTGTTCTCATGTTCATTGCCTTAAGTCGGCCAGAAATGTGTTACGAAAATGTTCTAATACAGTGAAATGAAAATATTCGCATTAGAGTTCCTTTTGTACTAGTGTTTGACGAAGGGGGCCCGACTAACAGCATTATATGATTGGGTTAGAACGAGGGAAAACATTGGAACAAGTTTATTATCCAAAGCTGAAAGACTTAAGACAAGTTAGATGAAATTGAGCTGAATATCAATCAAATAGTCAATGTAATTTCAAATAGATTTTGAGATTGTGTTTGTTTCTACCCTTGATACAAAGTTGGGGTACCCAGGAGAACCGAGTTGCCAAGAAGTTAATAAAAAGATATCGTTCTGTATCGCACGTTTTCGAGAAAATTTTCGACTCTATTTTATTGAATTATCTTTAAATAAGACTTTTCTGAAGTGTGAGTACACTTTTCAATTACTCCCCTCTATCGTTATTCAATGCTGTTACAAAGCAACTAACCTCGCCCGCGCCCGTGTTTGGCACGCGTTCGTAATCATGTTCTTAATCACTGCGTAATCGAAGTTGTTTCGTTGTTATAGTTTTTTAGCGCGCTATAACTTTCTTAAATAAACCTAAATGTCTTCTGATGTCTTTTAAGCACATTACGTTCTTTCCCTTCGCAATTTTTAAAAAAAACTTTATAATTTGGTTCACTAATAATTTTCTTCTCTAATACTTTTTATCGAAACATATTATTTTTAGAAGAAATAAATTGTTTTTATTTCTATTCAGTGTTTGTCATTAGTCATCGAAAGTAAACTAAAACAATAAATTATATCAATACAGTGAAAAAGTTCAAAATTCGATTTCACGGCGGAAATTGTTAGGAAGTAAAATGGAAAAGTGAAAAAATGCACTTATTAAATGAAATATGGCCCAACATTTCGTTTCTTTGGCGCTGAAAACCGAAATAATGCTTAACGGCATGCAAACCTGTACATCCTTTTGATTTACAAAACTTTAAAGATACATAATCTAGAAAATGTTACAAATAAGGGAATAGCTGCATATGCCATCGCTGATGGCCACTAGAACTAAGCTAGACATATTATACAAGAGAGTTATGCACTATTTGGACATATATTTGTCTGTACTAGGAGCGAGAGCCCGCGAACGGGCCAGGGCTTACCAGCGTCCATGGGTTTAAGGGGCTCATGTTGTTAGCACGATGGCATCCCTACGTCGTGTTCTGATCTTCTCACCCTGAGAAGTGAGTTTTCTCATCGTCATACAGCAACATATACTGAGACGTTGCAAGGAAAAAGTACTCTATATTTTGTCCGACCTGGAACCGAATCCGGCATCGCGTCGTGGAAAGGGAGCCCGCTGACCAATGAGTTACCCGTGATCCACCCTATTAGAAGACCTGATTCCAGAACGCACGAAGCCCTTCTTTATAGTTTCTGCTTTCACTTCCATCCAGACCCTATTTATCCAACTCACTTTTTATCCATCGACTACTGTTTCAGATTTTGGTAGTTCGTGTACTGCCGTAGCTTTAACCCTTGTTGCCACAAGGATTTGCTTTTGTGAAATGTTATTTCAGATAATTTTATTTTTCGATAATTTTCCTACATTTTCTGGGAGGTGTGTCCTTAGAAATTATCGTGAATTTTAAGCGCCTGATTCCTGTTAACTGGTAGATACCGAAAACGGCTTGGCTCACAGTAGTACGCAAATTCTCGGTCTCGCGTAGTCGCTATTATTTCAATGCGACGTTTTCTGGTATTCTTAAAGGAAATGCGATGTTGCATTACGAGCAAAAATCATCGTCGATGGTCGGAAAGAGGGGTGGTCGTCTTGAAGGTAAAAATATATTAGTCTTGTGAAACAATTAGTCCGTTCCATAGAAACCTGCTCTCGAAAAGAGGTGGTCTTCTTAGAAGTGGCCTTGAAGTAATGGGGTTAGCGGCCGTGCGGACCACGGTATACATAGGCGGACCCTTGTATGTATAGTAATGACCTGGTAAGTAGCCATTACAGAGGGGGTTGCCACCACCTACAAGCTGCGTTGGTGAGTAGTAGACAACAGGACACACACGCTAAATTTGTTTAATGGGCGCCAAGCTCGCATCTTCCCTGCCATACATCTCCGGCATTGAGAATTCCAGGAGTGTGCGCTTTGGGTCGAAGGAATGCATTGTTTACTATCTATTAGAATAATACACAGAGGTGGAACTTTATAAATTGTAACCCGTCCACATGGCGCGAACACGTTTATTGAAAATAGAAGAGACTTTGAATACATTTTGAATTACGAATTCTATTTACGTCCACAGTCCAGACTTGTTATTAACTTAATGGAAATTCACAAAGATGATGGTAAATTATGTTGCTACCTCATTTCGGTGGAATTGCACGCCCGCGCGCTTTTACCGGCCAATTGGGGCTGCGGAGCCCCGACGGAGCACAAGTGGCCTCGTGCGTAGTGGGGAGGATCTGGGGCTCCCTTCGCACGCGGCCAGGCTCGAGGCGACGAATGACGATGCCGCATTCACACAGCTGACAGAACGGACTGCACACCTCTTCCATTGCTATTAGGACACATGGAAGTAATTCCGATTGAGTGGTGAATAGAGGATTGCTTTGGCCAGTCACACGCCAGTGGATACCTGACCCTGCCGTAAATTACCTGAGTCTCGTCTGCGTCTGCTATGCCAAGTAAATTTTGATTCGAAGTACGTCAGCTCCTCTCTACATCTCCTCGCCAAATTACGTGTATGTCTCTCAAAGTTCTTATATTAAGTCTTTTTGTTTATTTATTTGTTACAAGGACGTCCGCTAGTAGAATCTCCGAAGAAAGAAATTGCACGGAGTTTGATCATAAGAGCATGTAGACAACAAACTACATGTGATAATTCTGTCTCGATAAACCCATAAGGAACTGAAGCAGTGTGTGTGGTTGTGGAGTATTATTGGAAATGACATTTATACGCTCTTTTTTTTTGTTATTTAAGGTCGCATCAACTTCTAGGTCATTAGCGACCACTATTGATTGTAACGGTATGGTAACTGCAAGGATGACACGATATGATAGGGGGTGAAAGGACGAGCACAATACAACCATGCCCGAGGCGGGACTCGAACCTCGGCACTACTGCTTTAGCGATCTCGGCCACCGGATCGGCAAATACGCTCTTTATTTGTCAACATTTTGAAGAAAGGCTGCAGGACACGATATTAATGCCGGTTTGACACATTTTACGTATGTGTCATACACAAACACTTTTTGTTTGAGAGTGAACTTCGATCGAGCCATTACAAACCAACTATTGAACAGGGCTGGAATTATAAAACAGCGGAGATAAACTGAAATAAATAATGAAGTAAAAGGTAAAAAAATCAGTATAGTGAGAGTACTGTGCTCGATCATCTGCAGTTTCCAGATTTTTAATAAATTTCATAGAAGAAAATCACTTTTACCCGAATACGTGTTTTAAAATATTGAAGTCATTTTTATTACTAATGATCTTAAGTTTGGATATTTGTCACTCAAATAATTTCGATATTTGAAGTTCGAATAATGTGATCTCTTTTCGTGTTTGTCTGTAGGAACGCGTCGGCTTGTAAATCGCACAGCTCAAGTTGTAAACGTGGTTCTCGTTCCACGAAACTACTCTGATTGCTCTATATTCCTTATCAGATTAATTTCTTCATTTTTGCTGCATTGAAATAAATTCATTTTTGAACAAGCATTAATATTTTTCGTTTTTATTTAAAAATATATCACGGGCCGCCAGTTGGGAACTTTTGGGCAATCGGTCGGGCCTCGCCTTTAGACGAGTTAATTACCTTGTTAAGAAACTAAGCATAATCGGGCTTACCCATGGACACAGAACTCAAACCGAAATGTTGGCTACAATAGTAGTTTCTATGTTACTACTTTATATGTTTAGCTTTAGTGCAGGAGTGCGTTTTGAGAACAAGCGACATTAGGAACAAGTTATTCGTGCCGTAAACGGCAAATTCGTCGTAATCTGTGCCGTAGGGTATCCTTTTGTGAACGATTTCTTGTAATGAATAATGGGTTTACAATGATGGAATACAAAGTAATGTTCAATGAAATGAACCTACCAACTTTTCCTGACGCATGCTGCAAAGTTTAATATTTGTTTTTTTTCAGCCCTACAGGAGAGTTCCTTATTCTCGGCATGCAAGATGGGAAGATTAGAGTTTGTCGAAAGAATCCTAATAACATTTCGGATCTCTCCGATTACTGGGCGCTGTCCATGCACGACAACGATAATGGCATTATCCCGCAGATGTGCTTCAGTTATGACAATAAATTCATGTTCTCTTGCGGCCGTGACGGCAATGTGTTTGCGTATGTTGTTGCATCTGAAATCGATAAACCTCCGATCAGAAAACCCAAGAAATCTGCACCATGGGTACGTACCTCTGAATTCTATTCGCAGAATATGGTATAAGGCAAATAAGACCAAAATAGTATGCACCTGCGTATCGCACGGGTCTTGGCGTGGAGGGACGGTAACGGCAGCGAGAGGGGAGCTAGGAGGAGGTCCAATCAGGAGCTTTCTTTTAGCTAAGTTTTTGCAAGCTCTCGATTGTATAATTGCGTCACAGCGAATAAAAAATCAGAAGTCACTGTTTGTAAATCGGAGAATAGCGAAAGCAACGGGGAAAGTACGGGAATGCGCTCACCTATGGTCCGATTGAAATATAGTGACTTGTGACAGATCATCAGCTGGACGCAGTTATCCAATCAGGAACTTCGTTACGACTCTAATTACTTTCTCATATACGAAGTAATATACGTAATATTGAGAAAAATATGAAATGTTTTGGTATGGAGTGAAAGCCGTAACAAAGCTGTCAATTGGATATCCGCTTCCAGCTGATCAAAAGTGGAAGTCACTTTATTTAAATAGGAGTATATTATAGTTGTACTGAATATCGGTGCACTCGATAGCCGGTAAAACGCGAACGAGACACTATAATTCGATTTTTTAACGTGGTATTTCAAGGCCACACACGAAAAAGGGAAAGGGAAACCAGACTTCAATAGGAACACCAATTGGAGTCTGCTTTCATTCAACATTTTTGTGTGTGACCTTGAGACGCCACGTTAAAAAAATGGAAGTGTACGCATGCGCTGTAGATCTACGCATTCTATCGCTCTCCAGAAAACGCCGGTCACTCAATGAGAGCTTGGTACAGTAAGCGCCCAGATATTTGTTTCGGGTGCGTTAGCAATTTGTTGCATTTGCTTTCTTGGGTGATTTCTTACACGAAATGTAAATGTAAATTGTATGCGCCCAGGCTGACTGTCGAAACGCAAGAAACTCGACGCTTTTGTGGCGGCGTTCAGTGCAACCGTCTCCCATCTGCGTGGTGTCAGCGAGTGCGAACTCTAGGGCCTCGAGCGGCGCTCTACTGTTTCTTCCAGAAAGCAGAGCTCTGGCAGAGTGTCGGCTTTCGTACTTGTCTATACCTCTCTGGACGGCAGGGGAAGGTGCCACTGCGGAAGTGCAGCGATCTACACCATGACCCGAACGAATAAGCGACGAATCCACGAATGAAGTCGATATTCAAATTTGAAAAATTATTTAGTGTAAATGAAAAGAAAGTTACATAATATATTCAACCCGACTTATAATCAATTCATTGTAGTCGAGGTGTTTTGAGAACTGGGTGGGGAGGGGCAGGAAGAGCTGGGGTCGGCGAGGCAGGGCAAAGCGTGGCGGGGCGAGACGAGGCGAGGTAGGGAAATTGAGAAAGAATCGGAACGAGACAATGCGGGGCGGAGCAGGGCATGGCGGGGCAGCTGAGGCGATGAGGAATGGGCTGGGCGAGAGAGGCAGACGGGGAGAGGGGAGGGAAGGACGGGTCAGACTGGGAACGCGGTTCCCCATCCCCTCCATTTCGGTTGCCTCTCGCACGCCGCTCTAATTGTGGTAGTGCTCATTCAAATCGTGTCCAGACGCAGTGACAAATTGTTTATTGTTGTATTTGTATACTTTTTATATACTGCGTGATCTCTCTTACAGCCTTCAGATTCACTTGAAGATATTACAGATCCAGAAATGTATAGTTTAGAACAACTAAAACAGAAAGCCGAATACGACAGAAAAATGAAACTAGCAAATGACCATAAACAAGAAGTCTTGGAGTCTTTGCAAAAACTCAAAGAAAAGTTTGCTTCTGTGGCACAATCGTGAGTACATTTTTTAATTTTATTCCTTCTTTGTCTTACATTTGACAGAGCAATCATTTTATGAGTAGTGAAACATCATGAATTATCGTTGCAAGATTAATGTTTGGGAATTCAAAAGAATACTAAATCACGTATTTTAAGACAAGATTGTGCATAATGATAATACTCTTCTAATAATTACTTCCTCAGAATGATCTTGGCCGGAATTGGTAATTTGCAGAACTGAAATTCCATTTTTATGTATTTTTTTGTTTGTGAAGAATTCTGATATAACGCAAGTTATCACTTAGGTGTATAGCAAGTCACTGTATATGAAGTATTATTCAAAGTGTCTATTGACTTTTATGGATCTGATGTCATCCAATTCAGAGCTCGTGTTATACAAATTGTATAATTGAGGGGTTTTGCAAAGCTTCAAACTGGATAACATAAACCGTTAATCCGGAAAAGGTGGATCAGAGCATCCTCAACTGATGTCACTGTGCAGTGTCTTTGCACGGGAGGCCCTAGGAGTCGAATCCCGACGACGGCAGGATTTTCGACACTAGCTAGGTTGAATTCAGTCGCTGTCGGGAGAGGAATTTCTGTGGTCGATGGATAGTTTATTCTGTGGTTTCTCCAATCACTACCTGGCGAATGCCGGAGCAGTGCCCTAACAAATGGGCCATGGACCTTTCCTTTCTCTTCCATATCATAAACTCACCTCTTACTTACACACAATTACACTTTTGAGTCATTCCGCGTCAAATCGCACACTCACCAAACATCACTATTTTGTGGCTACTTGAAACATTTTTATAAATTCTTGAGTTGAAAATAGGTGACACATATTTTTCCTTTTTTTTTCTAAGCCCACGCCTTTCAGAAATATCATCACTTACTTTTTCCGAAGAATCATGCGGGCTTTAATGAATAATTTTTTGGGGGGTAAATTCCGTTTTATTCAGAAAAATAATTTACATTTAAATTTAAAAACTTAACTTAAATTTTAAAAAATGTACTTTCATGTGATGTAATTATAATTTTTGTAAACACATTATTTAAATATTTAAAATATATTTTAATTCTTAAAATACAAATTTTTACTTTAGGTGGACATATAAATTAATTGTAAAAAATACTCAAGAATTATACACTAATTTTGTATAGATCTGCAGAATTTCGAACTGAGGCACACATAAATAAGATATAAAAAATAGTTTGTTCACCGGCGCACGTAGGCTGCCGCTGTCCACCGGACTCGCTACGCAATGACGCATCGTGACGTCCAAACATAATGCAACCGTGAGACTTATATCATCCTAAAATCACAGAAACACGCATACGGTCTCAAATTTAAATCTCTGGCAAAATGCGACTATTAAGGTTATTTATAAACAAGTGACACTGCTAGGGTACGTCTGAAACAGAGCATCCTTCTTTCTCAGATATACTGAGTCAGTTGTGTAAACAGAGGAATCCGCGAAACATATGTGTTGTTCTGTGAAGTTATTAACCACAGATAGACTTACAAAAATTACAATACTATTGTTATTTGAATTTTCTGAATATGAAAATCTATAATTGCAGAAGGTTTGGGTGCAGTACGTTTGGGTTATTACAACGGTCTTATCTTCCTCTCCCATATCATATCCTCACCCCTTACTCACACTTACATTAAAATGCACTGCACTACCACACTTGCCGGAAGACCGTTCGGGAGACTAGAGCTTGTCCCGACTGGGTGGTGCCCCGCTGGTGTGAGATACCTGGTTGGAGATAACCCTGATAGCCGATGGTAGGTCGGCACCGGCTCTCGCCATTCAAAGGAGAAAGTACCGCCACATCCTGAGAAAAAACCTGCACTTCACTTCACGAGACTAATGACCGTAATAGTTGACGTGCACTAATAATCAACCAACCAATCAATCAATCAATCAAATCGTAAGTCAGAAGTTCGATTCCTTGTTCATTGCTCACTGAAAATTAAAACTTTCTGAGTCGCCGGTGTGGCTACGAATGGGTTCGTATGCCTTTAGTCGCAAAACCACCTTCAATTGTCATGCTTTTACTTTAGTCAGTGGAAAACACGTTGACCACAGATTTCTAACCTTTTTCTGTCATCTACCTCGTGTAATAGAGCGGTTTGCGTCCTCGACCCCCACCCCATACGTTTTTCTCTGTAATATTCAGAACACTAGATATTCATATTACAAGTAATGGCACGTGAATGACCTAAAGAAATTTACACAAAGGAAATTAATAATATTTTGGAAGCAATTATTAGAATTGTGTTTTATATTTTATGTAGTATTATCTTTTTTAATTTTCCAAATATAAACAAGTTCTCAGAACCAAAATCATAGATCCTAAATGTGCAAAAGTTCTATTTTCTAAAGAAAATGTAGTTAATGATGTGAAATTCTAAAGGAGAATAATTTTAATTTATTATCAGATGAAATATAAGAGAAAAAATATTAAAGATCAGAAAACAAAATGAACTTAATTAAGTATTTTATTAAATAAATGGCATCTTGATTATAACGATTAGTCGCCAGTGCATACTCAGCTCTTCACCCCATTAGATACCCAACTGAATGCCATTGACCTCCTTTGAAATATCATCGACTCTTTTAAGAACCTCTGATCTAGACTCTAAACAAGATAACGAGATGTATAATTTAATCTCTGAAAATATTTTGAGCTTTTAATTTCGTTAATGATAACTAGTTTAACCGTAAGTATCCCTATGATTTCGCCTTTCAATTTATTTTTATAAGATGTTAATATGTGTTTTTCGATCCAGAGAAATAGAATTTAATCAGGAAATTAACTCTACAGAATACTCATCACGTGCCAAATATTAGGAATAAACAGTATGGAAAATTCTGAGAACATTAAACTTTCACCGTTGATATGTGATAATTAGTTTTGGTATCATTCATTGAGACAGTCAAAACTAAATTGAATATAATAAATAAAATACTAAACTTTGAGGCAGAGATGGTTGTGATATAATCGAATAATGATATAATCCCAACGAATTCCAACAAAGCCCCTGACATGTGTTTTAATTTCTTAAAGGAACAAAACTTTGCCTCTAAAACTGAGAATTCCTTACGGAGAATTTAAGATCGATCATAGGATAGAAGATGATCTTGAAGATGAACTAGAGGACATGTTGGCATTGGAAAAACGAAAACTCGCTCATCAAGCGGAAAAGAGCTCCATCGCATTACAAAAGCTGCAAGATTACTATTATAACGTGTTGGACACGCACTTAGTAACAGTCCGTGCATTCAAGTAAGTGCTAAATAGGTGTCAATATGACGTTACAAAAGTTATATACTTTTAAATAAAATATAGTTAAATAAAATAGTTTCATACGTTTTTATGTGTAGAACAACAACATCTAATGACGGAGACGTAACAGTCTCCAAACGTCGGGTAAATTTTCTTTAAATAAAAAAAAATATTTGGACGTGTTTGATTGTGGTTGTCAAAAATATTAGACATTATTAGAAAATATAAATTATAGTAAGTGACAACCTATTAAAAACTTGTATCTTATTAATTATAAAATTTTCTTCGGTGTCACCCATGTACAAGGAAAGTTCCTCATTATTAAGCAACTTGTGTTGCAGCATTACGGGTTTAGTGCGACTGTTGAAAAGGCATAAATTATTTCGTAGGATCTTATGAAATTGTCATTATTCAGCCATTTTATGTGAGATGTTCAGGCCAGGAAAGTTTACTCTGGTTTTGTTTTACAGGAATCCAAAATTGAAGGCATACACTTTTCGTTCAAGAGCCTTGGGACCAGAGTTTCAGCAAGCAAAACGATTTGTCAAAGAGAAGTTGGATAGAGCCGATAAGTTACAAAGGTATTGTAATAATATGTATCTTCTATTTTTAAATAAATTCATTATTTTAAGGATTCATCAATAAGTATTGTGGCTTTTTAATTATTAGGCTTTTTAATTATTCTCAAATTTTCCTTATTTTTTTTTAAATTTTCAAAACTTGTTAAAATTTAACGTTTTAGAATAGCCATACTATTGAACTTCCAATTACTCGGAGTTACACATGCATTATTATCCAATTCATTCTCATACGAGTAGGTGCATGTGGAGCATGCGTTATTAGAGCCTAGATCCTAGAGTGTAGACTTTTGCGAGATACTTCATAAAATGGTTCACTACAGAAGATCTTCTGCAAAATGTGAGACACCAAAAAGGATTATTTGTTATTTACATATTTCTTTAACGTCAAAAGACATTTTCTTGCAATTTACGAATCACTGCACTTGTTTTTGAGAAATTCATTTACAAAGAGTGTACATCAATACATATCATATTTCAAATTAATACAATTAATGTAGATGGTACTTAATTTGTCAAAAACCGTAAAAAGTGTAAGCGATGTAAATGGGAGAGTTATAATGTGGCACCATTAACGCATTTAGAGCTCTAGAATCCCTACCACACCCTGATACTATAATTAGGTAAATGAATAAATGTACTAATGACCGTTGTTGGCAACATTTGAGAACTCAACATTTTCACTCCCGAGCCGCAAAAGATTATAATAGTCTTACTGTGATTTAAAAAAGTAAATGCTCAAATAGCACGTGTGTATTTTTTTATTTTGTTGCGTGTTCTTAGACGCAAGTCATCTCCAAGACCCTTGGGGGCGTTGAGCGCTTCGCGCATTTTGAGTAATCCTCCATTAGTTACTCCTGCGTCACTACCCAGCGGCCAGAATTGGGAAGGAATTAGGATAGAAGTAGGGTTTAAGACACTTCGAAAGGTTGGACTAGCCGTTTGAAGCAGCCTAAGTCGTTTTGTCGGAACAAATTTCACTTGAGATTGTTCAGGATTCGGACCTCCTTGGAGAAAGGCGAGCGACTTCGATCTGAGCCACCGAGCCAGCCATTCTTGCGGTGATAATTTCTAATCATAACACCGAAAGATCAGTGATAGCTTGCGCCCTTTTTGTCACAGTAGGAGAGCCTAAGCCACTTGAATAAGCTACATCGAATGAAATACACAAATTAGTTTGCATCGATTGATTGACATTTCAGTCGCCCGTCAACAACTAGCAGCTACCGTCAATAGCAACGCCATTAGTCCCGTTATTGTAGTGCATTTTTTGTCTCGAGAGGTGGCTGTGTTCCCTCCGGGGCTGGATGACAACGACGCGGACCCACCCGTTGACATGCAGGAGATTTCCCCTTCACGTATCTCCCCCAACTGGGCACTGGCTTACCCTGCACGAGTTCTAAGCTCCCGACATGGGTGATAAACTTGTGCACGGAAGTGTGAATATGTGTACGTATGGGGAGAAGATAGCACCAGAAATGGAAAGGAAAGATCGCGCGCGGTCCATGGCCCGTTTGTTAGGATATGCACTACTACGGTTATTCGTCAGGTTTTGATCGGAGAAACCATTTTTTCAATGGAACCGTATATTTTTCTCACTAACCATGGAACATAACTGGTGGTGCTACAAAATAACACAGACTTTCCCGTGTTAGTTTTCTATTTCCTTTGATCTCGGCTAGCTTCTCGGACTTGCCACATACTCTTGCCAGCTGCCAGCCATCGCTACCCAGAGCACATTTTTTTTAATTTTTAGGTTTCCTAATAGTAGAACGGAAATATTATTTTAAGAATATTGAATATTATTTTAAGAATATTGAATATTATTTTATGAATATTAAAGCATTATGGCGTTTTTGTCTTCTTATGGAGCACATTTAGCACTATCCTTACCAAACGTTTAAAGAAAAAAATTGGAGATTTTTAAGATAAGCTATCAGTGGCCCCAAAACGTGCATTTCCGTTGTAATGTCGAAATATATTTTTCGCAGCATTACACAACTTTCCTCATACTCCGTAAGCGGAATACCCGTACTCCGTACCCATACTCCGTATACAGGAAAGTAAAAATTGGACTGGAATGATATAACACATGTTTATGTTTTGGTAGTATTTTGAGTATAAAATTATACTTACTGCCATGTGAGTTTAAATTAAATGCGCAACATTTCCTGTGGCAGCCCTCGTAATTGTCGCCTTTGGGGAAGAACGCCGTCGCGGCCTCTCCCCGCATCAGTGCTGGGCTGCTAGGTAACAACAATTCTGAAATCGCCAACGTTTATATAATTATTATACTTTCCTTAAAGCAATTTTATTGCATCGCTTTCCTTCGCCTTCCAACCATCATCCTGTTCACCATCGTGCCTTCTTACCTCACAGTTCGCGTTAATTCCCTAAACCTTGACCTAAACTCTCGGTATTTCCCTTCCCCTTACTTCATTGGTAAAAGTTATTTATTTAAATTTTCATATTGCGTTTTCAGGCCTGCTGGCATTCGAGGGTCCAAATTTGCCCCAAGTACCACGATTAAGCATCGCCTCCGGCTCGGCACGTGGTTGAAGGGGATCGGATCCGTAGGGACCAACATAAGGATGAACGTGAAGCTCCAAAGAATGCTTTTGAAGTACTATGAACGGAAAAGAGCCAAAGAATTGAGAGAAGAACAGGTAATATTTACTCACTTTTTACTTCGGATAAGTGCATACATAAGTTTTTGGGGTGCTTTTTGACCTATATAGTCCCATAAAGGGTATTTGATTCTCAAAGGTGATCGGATTGTGAGGCGAGAATGCTGCAACACCGTTTTGGGAAGTTTATTTATTTAACTACGGAGTGGAGAAACTTATTACAGCGGTATCAGGGTGTCTTTGAGTTCCTCAATGAATTACGTTTGCTCGCAGACGTCTTGGAAGGAGAAGATAATTTGCCATTTCATTGTTAGCAGTCTTATTCTGTAGTTACGTACAGAGAATTTACAGCGAAGTGTTCAAAACGATCTAGGTACTTGGCTCGTTTGACAAGAGAAGAAATTGGAAAAGCAGTAAATTATTTAGATAAACTGTGTGGTGTTCATGATTTCTCAGATGATTCTTCAGAACCAACGGATGAAGAAGATTGTTTTGAAACAGATGACTGAGTCTCTTTATCGTCAGGTGATGACTCTGAAGAGATTTCCTACCAAGGCTGACGAAAATATGTCAACAAACGCCACGAAAATTCAATGGTCTTCAGATGAACCTGCACGTCTCTAAAGGCAGAGTGCTCAAACAATTCTCAACACGCTATTACTCATTACACCACTTCTAGAATGAAAGACGAATTTTCTGAAATTTTGTTTTTTTTGTTGTTTATACCTACTGCGACTGGAAACACAATATTGAAATATTCGAACATGGAAGGTCGTCAAATATATCAGTAAACATGGAAAGATGTGGATTCACAAGATTTGTATTCCTGTATTAATTTGAGTTGGTGTTTTCAAATCCCACAACGAATTAAGAATTATTTGATTTGATGAGAAAGAAACATGAAATGAAAAAAATCGGGATAAATTAGTTGCCATTAGAAATGTGTGAAAAATTTGGTAAAATTGGGAGAAAAATGAAAAATTGAAATTTTACCAACTTTTCAACCCAGAAGTAATGGTATCGGTTAATGAACAGTTAGTGGCATTCAGGGGTAGATGCTTGTTTAGGAATTATATTGCAAACAAACCTGCTCGCTATGGCATCCGATTTTGGATTTTATACGATAATAAAACGCCATACGTGTGGGATATGCAGCCTTATCTTGGAAAGCCTGCTGGGGAAAGAACAAAAAAGTAAGGGTTAGCGAGTCGTCTTGGATTTGTCCTTATCGATTGGAGAGCCACAATATTTTTTACTTCTTTTGAAGATCAAAAGTTAGATTAAATGTTACTGAAATGCAGTATTATTATGATTGGTGCAATGAAAAGGAACAAATATTTAATTTCATAGGAATATACTTCAAAAAAAAAGTGAATTAAAGATGTCTTCAGAAGTTACTTTTATTTCTGATACTTTTGCTGTCATATCTTTTAGAAATATCCAATAATTATATTATATTACAAAGTACATTGTACAAAGAAAAAGAAGTGTCTAGTGAAAGAAGTAAGAAACCTGCCATTATTATTGATTACAAGAATAAAGGTTCTATCCTCACCCTGAACAAAGCACTTACATCTTACACAAAATGAAGAGGAAAACCAACCGTTAGACTTTTATCGTTTTTTACAAAATTGTTGTTGTTAACGCCTACGAATTCACGAAAGTTATCAAAAACTGGGATTCAAATAATTGTGATAAACAAGCTCTAGATATCTGGTAGTGTTTAGTTTTTCAATGTAGTTTTTATATCGACTTCAAAAACAGTTTTGCTCAGTCACGTCAGATTTTTAAGATAGCGACACAAGTTAATTTTTATACAAAACAATTCGTTAATTTTTTTCTTCAACTTTTTTGTATTTTTCACGCAATGCCACACAAAGTTTCGTCGTCGGTGAAAAATTAAAGATAATATTTTAAAGCATTTTTGATATCGCATTACATTGCAAAGTGACAATATTTGCTATTGTGCGAAATTTCAAGGTCTCTTGACAAGCCTCGGTATAACACAACATTGAATCACGGTGATTGTTCATCGACTCAACTAAAACAAGTTTGAAAGAAGTATTATTACAAAATGGAAACAAATTTCCATCAGTACTGGTTGATTATTCTACCTACCTGAAAGAGAATATGAAACTATCTCCCTACTCCTTGAAAAAATACGCTATCACGAGTTTAAACAGTGTATCTATAGTGATTTAAAAACCATCACCATTCTCATGGGAACATCTGGCAGGGTACATCAAGTACTGCTGTTCTATCTGCGAGTGGGGCAGTAGTGGTTGGAAGCACCAGTACATGAATAAAAAAGACCTATCGAAACTAGAATGCTACACGAAATAAAAAAGTCCTTCGTGCGCCGTTGATGGACTCTGAAAACGTAATCATGCCTCCGCTCATCAAACGTTTGGCGAAGGCGCTGCAGACTGGGATGCTTTCAGTACCAAGTCCAGAGCACAGTGGTTTATTTACCCGTCGACGACAGGACGACAAAAATCAATTTCTCGAAAACTTCTCCTCCAAAGTTAATGAAATTTTGCACAGAGCACAATAAGAACACAAATATAAATGGGTGAAGTGTATATCTAAAAAGCGGTGGGTAGTAGAAACAAATGGTTTGCATAGTTGGAATCACCATGTGTCACTTTTCTTAGAACAAGTTTTAAATACCAAAATATCGGCCAATTTTATAATTTGTTTGTCAGTGTTATCTTAATTTTTTAAACTTTATGTAGTTTTTGTTGATTTGTACATAGTTAAGTATTATTTACTTCTTTATATGTATTTTGTTGACATAAATATTATATTCAAACTAAATATTTAACTATACTATCTACAAATTGATGTAGGGGACTTGCTTTACGGAACATGTGACACCCCGAGTTGCTGAAGTCATTCCATTCTTTGCATGTTCCTGCCATTCGCTGTATTGATGCATGAGAGATGTACTTTGAACAATAAACATGTAATATTAAATTATTTTTCTATGTTTCCCCACAATAAAATCTGTCTCAATTTGTAATTGCCGAACTGTATAAAATCAAATATTAGGTAAAAACTATTTTTGATTTAGTTTGTATATTTAATGTTCAAGATAAATATTTCATGAATTTCATGATTTTCTTATACTAAATGCTTATTTTTATTTGTATTCAATACTTGGCATTAAATATAATGGACGAAATTAGTCTTTGAAATGATTTGAAACGTATTTCAAAAAAAGTACGTGACCTTAATGAAAGTACTCACTATGGAGAACAAATTGTAGTTGAAGGAAAAATTCTATATTTACTCTATATATTCTCTATATTTACTTTTGTTGTAGGAAGACACCAAAAAAATCATAATAGGACCTATGCCATTTTTACACGTGTATGTTACTATATTCTGTCAAGAAATTTAATTAAAAAAATTTGAGCCATTTTTTGAGAAAATTTGAAAATGTTAGGAGTGCTTTATGTAAAGTATCCCCAAATTTTAAAGACAGTTTTTCAAAATATCCAAGTTCTGACTCCAGCTAGATGGACAGAGGCTTCTTCAATTTGGAAAAATTCCTATGTTTGGTTTAGGAGCTACTCGTAGTAGTGCTCACAGACGGATAGACAGACGGTCGTTTAGAAAAGAACAACTTCTCCGGTATCACGGGTCTCCAAAACGTATTTCCGTTGAAATCTCGAAATCGATTTTCCGCAGCATTACCTAACTTTCCCTACACTACGTATATTACTCCATTTATACATTCGTATTCTGAAAAGTAATAATGTACCATATATTAGGAAAACTAATTTACTTTGATATTTCGACGTTTTACTTACATAAAATTCTATTTATATATTATAGCCTTCCAAAATTATTTTTGGATTAAAGAAAACAATATTGCAATTGAAAGTGGTAAATGGTGTTTAGAAATAGATCTGGATTTAACTGCACAAAATTCAAGGTAGACTCCAGTATTAGCCATTGCAAAGCAATATTAAGAGAGCAAAATACTTTTTAAAATTATAGTTTAATTTTGGACGGTTTTAAAAATAAGTGGTCAGTCTTACTATTTCCGAAACTAACAGGTAGGACTCGATGATTTGAAAACTGAAGAACTATCCAAATTCAATTTAATTGTTTTTAATTAAATTGTTGATAATTAATATTTAAGCAGAAAAATTGAACTCAATATTTTGTAAACAAACGTTTGCAAATGAAACAAGGATTACTTGTCTATGGTAACTTCAATTTCATTCGTTTCCCTTGGTTTTGAAACGCAACCCTTCACATAGTTTAGTTCAGTGCTCCACTTAAAGTTAAACATTTTCATAAGTTTTGTTTGTTTTCAATTTAGTGGAATCGGATGACAACAATGAAACCTGATCCAAAAGTAAGCCATCCAGACGACGTAGCTGCGATGGAACAGGCAGAAAGAACCATCGGGGACTTCAAGATGAAAACTGATCCCAACTTCACTGTGAGCAAGGAAGAGCGTGTGACAACTGACAAAAAGTATCTTCAGTTACTGATCACCAGAGAAAAGGTGAGGCCCCCAGTTGATTGATTAATTTAATTGAGTTATGTTTCCGGGAGCGCTAATTGCTCAGTTTATTAGTCCCGAACGTGTTGGACAGGTTATTTCAAGATATCAATTAAAAGCTTTTACATTGGATTGTAGTCTTATATAGGAGGGGGTACTTACTAACTAACCTTTTATACTTTACTACCAATCTTTACTTAATTATAGACTTATACCAACTACATAGTTCCTCATATACAAATATTCACATAGGTTAATAGTCACGAAACTTAAGAAACAAACAAAGAATAACAGGTGACGGTGCTCCTCCCCGCTGGAACGTGAGATCCGGCGCCGACCTGCGCGTCGGCTTGAGTGACTGAGGGGTTTCCACCTCCGGGTGTCTTCCCGATGGGGCACTGCCTCAGCCTGCGTGGGCTCTAATCTCCCGACTGCTCTCCTCACGTGCGGTAACGGAAGAGGAGGGGTTAAGAATGAGGAAGGAAAGATCACGTGCGGTCTGTGGCACGTTTGTTAGGGTTGTGCTACGGCATTCGCTTGGTATTCTTCGAAAAAAAAACTTGAAAAACTACCGATGAGCCGGCCACTAGAATATCCTGGCAACAATAGCTGAAAGTGCGCATACAATTTCCCCTACCCAAATGCATTGGAACCAACTTACGAGTAGCTGGGATGATCAATTGAGGCTCTGCAGAGTCTCTGACTGGAAGGGCCTGAGGTTTGAGTCCCGACGATGGCAAGATTTTCAACACTATCTACATAGCTAGGTTCAATTCAAACGGCTGCTCTCATCGGTAGTTTTTCGAGGTTTCAACACCTAGTGAATAGAGCTTGTCCTGGTTGGGAAACCCCGCCAGCCGACGGTGGGTCGGCGCCGGAACTCAACCGCCGCATCTCGCAACTCTCCCGGCACAAACGGCCTTGCAGTGGACGCGCCCGGAAACACTAATCAATTAGTCAGCCAATGACTCTGTCATATGCATGAGAGCTATTTTAAAAAATCTCTTAAATAATCAGTAAATTTTGCGTGAAACGTCGTCAACCGCAGATTTGTATAACTCTGCCCCTTTGCACTCGTAAGGCAAGCCTGAATAACATAATGAAGTATTCGCTTAGCTCGTGTGCCTGCGTACTGCGCCTGGTCCTTCACATAGGAGAGTGACTGAAATGACTCAAAAGAATGGAGAGTTGTCTCGGGGGAGGGGGGTTGCGGGTTCTACACGTCCGTCAGCTTCAGCATTCTTCCGCGACTTCACGATCAAAGGACATTTTAGACTACTGAAATAATATATTACACGGTATTAAACTCGCATAATTATTTTAGGTGTAACGTACAATGAACTAAATATTAAAATAATATGTTATAATACTCATAGAATCTTTTGTTTAATTCTGAAAATCACGTTCAAAATTGGTAGTTAAATATATTGCTTGTAAAATTTACGAAAGAAACACCTCAATACAAGGCAAAAGAGGAATTATTTAATTATTAACTCAAAAATAATATACTCAGAATTCATTTCTGCAATCTAAGCTCTTTTGATTTTCTTGGAGGTGAGGGTAAAACCACTCCAAACATTCACTAGGGTGAATGAAATGGCCATGGTCATTTTGACAATCAAATGCCTAGTTTTTCTCTGCCGATTTCTGTCAATGCAGATAGCGTTCGTATTTATTTCTATTGGATAGCGACAGGAACCGTAAAGATAAAGGGTGCTAATTGTTGATGAATATTTTATCTAGAAATAGAAAAAAAGAGGTAACCTCTCTGGGATGACTGGATGAGGAAATTGACGGAGACTTCTGCCAGATGTCTCCGTCAAGGGATAGCTCTTAGTTAGAGCCATACAGCAGTGGCGAACGGTGTTGCCGTCTGTCGGGATCAGGTTTCGTGAAGAACTACGAAAAGATTGACCTTGCGGGTCGAGTAATCATTTCTTTAAGAAATTCAATTATTTGTTTTCAATTTTGTGGGTCCGTGAAATTGACAACATTACACAAGTGTAAATCGTATTGCACACTGCATCATATTCGATGTACATCTACGTTTTTGTAATGCTTCAATCCAAGATTTAAATAATTTATAGGACTTCACTTTATGACAGGATCCACGCTAAGCCTCTAACACCGTACTAAACGGGCATTCTTGGGTAACATATGCCTTTATTTATCGCTTATCTTCCGCTTGTACCTTCGATCTACAGCATACCTCCCCATAAATTTGAATTAATGAATTTGAAGAGTTCTTCTTTTATCTCAATTTTCCTCCATAGCACTTATCTGTAGTGCACCTGTCTCTGTATATAGTGTGTCTTAGTGCACCTAAAGATTTATGGTGGTGGTACTCCGAATTTTCTGTCCATGACGGCATAATTTTTCCACGATGATAGCAACACTGATTGTTGCCATCTCTAATGCAACATATGTTTTGCTCGGCAGATTACATTTCATTTTCATCCATGTTATCGAATTTTCAAAGATAAATTTGCAAAAACTGTGAGTAATGCCAAAGAAGTATATTTACGATCTTACGTTCGACTTCTTAGACATACATTCTTAAGCATAAAAATACCAATTTTCAAATGAATGTGACTAACAATTTATTCTTATTAAACTTAACTAACAACTTATTCACATAAACATACAAAACATTCGCTTTTTAATGGTTATATTAATGCCTCTACAAAATGATAAATACAGCTATTTCAAAAGTAGAAGTGAACACAATTACACTGACTTTGTGAAGTTTAATTATGAAGTTAAAAAATTAGGAGGCAAAAATATGGAAGTGATGAGCAAAACTCGGGAAGAATGAAATTTAGTTGCAGATGATTTTGCGACAAATTTTCGAATCTCATTGAGAATGATCTTAGAGAATAACGTTGAAGATTACAGATAATTTTTACCCTACATTTTAGTGAATATTAGCAAAAAACGTGAAATATGTAGCTGTACTAAATTATAAATATTCAGCACCATTCATAACTGTAAGTGTTTTGACGGCGTTAGCATTTTTGGAATTGCAATATTACCAGTTCATATACTGCATGGATATGGCTGTTGAGAATTTTTGAACAGGAGTAAAACTATCAGCTACTACGACTTATTAGTATATCCAATGCAAGAGACTGTAAGAACGTATTTGAACAATTGATGAGCACGACACACATTTTCAACATATGAAAGTACTTTCCAAACAGTTTACATCATCGGCGACGCCACATTCAACTAGTAATTTCGAAATACGGTAAAACTTGCTCAATGCGAAACGTGTATAAGGCGGGAATCTAATGTGGACATAAATCGCGGCCCTGCCAAACATATATTCTACCGTGTTACATTGCTTAATGCGGAATCTTGTCTAATGCGGAAAACAATACTGCTCCCTTGTGGTTCCGCATTGTGCAAGTTTTACTGTATATTATACCTGTATATTTTCATTTAGCCCTATGTCTTTTCAGATTCCAGTCTGGTTGAAAGGTAAATAATGGTTAGTGTTCACAATCATGTCTGTTACTACAGTCAATTATGTGAAAATATAAAAATATATTATTACAAATGTGTCTCTGGAATATACGTAATGAAATGTAAAATTAGTAATTCTATGAGATCTCCTGAAGTTACCATTATATTGTTAATTTTCAGGTGTATCAAATACAGAAAAACTATAATGACCGCGTATTACAACTAAGGGATAAAAAGGTAGCTTTGATAAACCACATTAATGAATTGAATGAACGTCTAACAAAGAGGCACAAAGAATTGCCAAGTTCAGACATTATATTGCCACCACCGATTCCTGAGGTGCTGAAAGAAGAGGAATTTCCAGAGAGAGAATTGACGGTATTTACACATAATAATAGTAATGTTATATATATATATATATATATATATAT